GTACTGGAGGCGTTTATACTTCCCAATGAGATATGAAATCAGTAAAGGTGTCTTCTTTTTCAAAACTGAGAAAAATCATACAGATCTTATAGACCAATGAATCTTCTCAAATAGCAGTGATTGAGCAAATTGTATTTGCCCATCTAAACTACCACATGAAGACCTCAGCACTCATGCATCAAAACCAAGTTGGATTTCATGAGAGAAAAGAAAGTCATGGAAGAATGCTTGCTTGATAAAGTAAGAGGTAATAAAAGCAACAACCTTTTACGTACTGTTGTTGCAACAAACTGTAAAGGCATATTTGATATACTTTGAATTTCATACTTTATCTTTTAGAATTCATTTGCCACACAGAGACTGTCTGCTTTATCAGAAGCTATCTTCAGGATAGAAATGAACACAATTTCTAATTGCTTTAAAAACTGCAATGCGCGAAGCTTATAGCTTTTATGGATGACTATATGCTGGTGATGGTAGGTAGAATGAATTTAGAAAAAGGAACAGCATAGACTGGACATATTTGCAAAATGGGCTTGTTCTCACAACTTTACAGTCTCTATCAGTAATACTAAGCTTTTACTGTAAACAGAAGATCTACATTGAAATAAAATTCCTTGCTATGTCTTAGTAAATCTCAAAGGAGTGTTAGGAAAGTAAAATGCCTAAAAGTCAGCTTTAATAGCAAGTTCTTCTTTCCACTCATTCAGCAAATCGAACAGAAAGTTGCACTCCTCGCAACCTCAAGGAGAGAATCATGGCACACATTTGAGGTGCCTCTTCTCATTATCTTAAATTGTGATATATAGTAAAAATCATTTGGTATATAGCAGTTATTTGGGCATGATAGTTAATTAGTGGATTTGCTACAAAATTGCAATTATATAAAAGTTTAACTTTTATGTTGTTTTGTCTTCAACCAATAGAATTTACGGTTCCATATATAAAGACCCCATTCCGGATTTAAACAGTTGGGGTATATGCAGTATTTCTTGCCAATATGTCAAAGTAAGAGAGCCTGAAAATTTGGCTCTAAGGAGCATGAGGCATATGTTAAGGAAAAAAGAAACTCATAATTCATCTGTTGCCCAAATTTTGGTCAAATTATTTCCCATTTTTCTGCAGCCAAAATTATTCAAAAAATCTTCTGTTGGCAAATTAGAATTCTTAGAGGCATTTTGCTTTCATAAAGTCCTTTAGTTCTTGTTAATGATCCAAATTTCAATCAATCTTTTCTCTCAACTTTTAATTAAATTATTGTACAGTTTTCATATTTTATTACACCAATGCTCATTTTCCTTTTTTATCATTTTCATTCATTTTTTATTATTCCAATCAATTGCACGAATAGCTCTGCTTTATTCCTTAATGAAACTTTCTTGACTTTTCTAGTCCATTATCATTGCAAAAGCACAGGCTTCTTCTTTATCGTTTGCACTTCTGCTGCTGAAGAAGAGGTTCTATATTCAAACCTCCAAAGCAAGTCATGTGAATTTATGAAAATTATGTTATTTCTTGTTGCTTCAGTATCTCAAATAATGGTTTTAGCATGCCAACCTAGAATATTTCAATTTTTATTTACAGAAATCATTGAACCCTGTATAGACAAATTTGCACATCTCCCCTTACATGTAATTCACGGGGAAGCAATAGTCTTAAGAATAGTACAATCAAAAGTCGTTAATTCGGACACCCATAATCCGGAATGATCTATAATCCGGACCTCAAAGCTAAAATCTTTCTGCGCATGCGCATAGGCGTTTTACTCGTGCGCCCAAGACATTTACGACTGCGCATATGCGTCTGCGCAAGTGCAGAATACGATTTCGCGTGCGCGTTTAATGTATAACGGACGGTATAAGCTAAAATTATCTAATTATCTATTTCAGTTAATGTCGATGATTGCGTTGTTCCTTAATCTTCGAATTGGATCCGGCTTATTATTTTTTGCAGACTGTAAGAGCAATTTTCTAAAAGTAAGCTTGAACTTTTGATTATGTCAAATAGAATTTCCGATGCTGGAGCTCCCAAAGGATCTAGAAAACGAAAGTATCTTTCGATGTCCATCAAACAAAAAACGAATTGCTACAAAAAATGGATAAAGGCATATTCTTTGTTTATCTAACCGTTCCGAAATCTGTTTATCAATTTCACGCTGCTCTGCGCGGGGGGGGGGGAAGACGTCCCGGCGCGCAATGAACTGGAAGTTGATTTGTCAACACTATCGTTATCTTCAGAGCAGATGTTTTTATTTTATTCGGCTTATAATTCCTTACTAAATGTAGTATTTAATTTCGATGTACTCCGTCTTTGATATGATTTAAATCAAATTCCTCGTCATTATAAATACCACGAATACAAATCGAATAGTTTTCTGGTTGCAATTTTCTAATTTCGGGTATGCTTTACGCATCCGCGCGTTGAAAGAAATGTTTAATAAAGTAAACAAATAAATATTAGGCTTCTTTTTTGGTAAATTTTGATACCCTTTAGATCATAATTGCTCATTATTTTATAAATTACGGTTTCATATTTTTAATTTTATAATTTCTGAATGCCATCTTACCAGATTTAAACTGATGATCTATAATCCGGAAAAATCGATAATCCGGAATCGCCGAAGTCCCGACGAGTCCGGATTAAAGACTTTTGACTGTATATGTAACAGTGCTGTGTATTAATATGTCAATGTGAATTTTTTGAATAGTGAATGAATGAGTGAACTGCTCAAGATCTGAAAGATTTAGGTTGCAAAATATGCTAAACTGTGAATTGTTAATTTTACAATATAACAGAGGATTGCTACTGTTCGTTAAATTCGAACCATTAAATTCATTTGACTGTAAATTTGTATGTAGAGTTAATGTTATTATGGACCAGGGAACGGTCATGCAGGTTTTCCCTTGTATATGTAAAAAATTTATATTTGTTTGTGTCCTTTTCATTCTGCTTACTATGTACAAAAGTGGACCTGAACAGATTTATGAAATAGGCATCTTCATGCATTGATATTAGTATGTATTTATGGTTGTTGCATATGTGTACTTAGTGCATCTTTATTTAGCATTTGGTGAATATTGTATCTGTTTTCTGTATAAATGTATTGAATCTGTCTCATTGTATTACAGTGTAATGGGAACTCCTCTCTCTATCATACTCACATTCTTCCATAAATATAATCCCTATCATAAGTAGATAAAGAGCAAGTTGTTTAATATCTTAAGTGTGAATTATACAGAATTACAGTATAAAGTCTGAAATCTGAGCATCCAGTAACCAGAATGATCTGTAATCCAAACTTCATATAATTTTTTTTTGAGAAATTTTTTTTTTTACAGAGTATAGGAATGGAGAGTATCATCAGGAATGGAGAGTATGATATTCAAGAAAAGTATACAGTAAATTTTTCTCCTAATTAGCTGAGATTTCTTATGCCAAGAAACATCATTAAGTATAATAGTGTTGAATCATTCTGCTTCTTATTTCACTTGAACACCTGCCAGTTAGCAAACTAATGGAGGAAGGAAATAATTTTTTCCTATCTCGGTGAGCAAATCACATTTTCAGCCCCTGAATGGTTGTGGAGGGAGCAACAATAGATCTAACTTCTACACGATAACTGAAGCTGGGTGAGCTATGTTATTTAGAGTAGAATATTGCACATTCTTGTTTCCATTTGTTTGTATAGCAGGAAAGAAGGGGGAAATAATTAGAATCCAATGAATTTGTATTTCTCACTTTTAATGAATTTGCATTTCAAATTGCACTTGTCTTTAATTTTCTGATTTGATTCAGTTTATTATTTTGTCATAAATAATAAATGAAATTTGTATTAATGGAACTTGCAAAGAAATGCTAAATGAAGGTGATATGGTCCTGCACTGCAATGATATTCTCCTGATCGCCAATTGAGCAATAGATGGTGAAATTTATTGCATTGTTTAAATCTAAAAAATATCTCCTTTTTGACTTCAAGTCATATTTTTATTTTATGAAGTGGTTATTCAAGCACAATCTTTCTTTGCTGCAGAATACTTCTTTCTTGAAGAATCAGAATAGTTTTCATCTCTTAGCAAGTCCCAAATAATAGAATTCCATTTCAGTAAAAAAAAAAAAAAAAAAAAAAAAAACTATTACATAACAGTAAAAAAACTGTAGTTGTATCAGGAAGAAGCTAAACCAAACTCATCACTCCTGGCACTGAGGAAATATGCCAAATAATAAAAAAAGCAAGTGGTATGGTTTTTACAGAAAATTTCACGATGTTTTATATTATGAAATATAACAGAAAACTAAATTTTCTGTCTATATTATGAAATATTATCTGTTGTAAAAATATAACATGAAATTTTCTGGTCAACTGAATATGTATAGAAATGCTAAAGGAAGGTAATATCACTTAAATCTTTATTGCAATGACAATGCTGCAATCATCAATCAGGTAACAAAAAAAAAAAAATCTATAGTATGGTTTTAAATCCACAGAATATCACCATGGAATAATGAAGAAAACAAAATAAATTATTGAAAATGAAAAGATTTAATTTATTATTCATCGAAGATTTTTGACAAAGGAAGTTGAACCATGGAACTTTGTAATAGTAAAAAATTATGTCTGTAAAATTGGGGACCCCCCCCCAAAAAAAGGGGGGAAGAAGAAGAAAGAAAAAAGAAAGCTTGGCAATAAACAAACAGTAAAACTAAGGTTAGGTTCAGCTTTTTTTCTTTTTCTTCTTCTTTTTTTTTTTTTTTTAAATTATAAATGCTTCACAGGCTACCTTACCATATATTTAATTCCATTCTTTTTACATCTGATAGTACTAGATTTAAGTTAATGACTCAAAACCCAGATTCACTAAAGTGTGAACAATTCTGGATCTTGGATTTTGTATTGTATATTCGTGTGTGTATGCTTTCAAAATGTGTTAGAAAAAGTGTGTGTTAATTTGTAAAGAAGTCATACTTTTGTAATTTTTATTAATGCTTTTATTTTATTTTAGACTCTAGAATCTGCATCCTTGAAACAAATTAGGTTTATCCCAGGCATTTTATTCATTGATGGTAAATATAATTTATTGCAATGCATGCTCATTTATGCTGATGTCACTTTTAACATGAATGACTTTTATTTAAAATGTTACTCTTGTTTGAAATGTTTGTCTTTAAAATGTTTTCTCTCAAAAATTAGATTTAGAGTTGTACCAGTCTAAAAAGATGCTCTAGCTGCTGATTACTTCCTTAACATTGAAGCACACTGTACTTAGAAACCTCTTTCTAAAAAAGAAAAATTCCTCACTGTATTATTAATAATAACCAATATTTGCTTCTCTGCAGTTGTATGGAATATTCCAGTCCTTATATAAATTAAGCTTGCTTTTACAGATAAGATATGTTATCAAAATTGATTTGATAGTTGTTATTAGCCTCAAATAAGCTATTATTATTTTTTGTATTGAGATTGTTGTTGACAGAGAAAAGAATATTAAGATATTTAAAAGTACAAATTTTTCAAATGTGAAATAAGAACATTTAATATGGGACTATCATTGTAATTTTTATAAGTGTATTCAGTATATTTTATGTTCATTTATTATAATTTTTCATTTGGTAATAGCTTCAAGTAGTACAAGTCTTCCTAACAATTGTCTTATTCTGCATATTGTGTCAGTATCATGTGCAAAGCCATCATTTAGATTGAATTTTGAAATGTGCACTGACATTCAGCTCATAGATTTAATTACATTTTTGGGCAGTTTCAGTATAGCATAGTTCAGCTGCTTTGTTTATAAATTAACTTGTGTTGCTTTAGTCTAAGTTCATTCACACTTTCAAAAACTTGTTTATTTTAATAAAGATATATGCTGATTTGAAATTTATAAGAAAGTGGAATACATTAACATTAAACTCTTTTGATTTTTCTAAAAATCTTCTGAAAACATAAATCTGATTTAATCTAGACTAGACAAAAGGAAGTTTCTAAAAAGCATGCGGGAGAATATTTTATGCATATAATTGAAGAGAGTGACTTTTCTAAAATTGCTGCTTTCAAGTTATCTCCTTTCTGGCAATGAAGAGATTGAGTTTTTTTTCTTTTTTTTCTTTTTTTCCCAATTTGTTGAGTATTTTCATAGTAATCTAAACTTTGTATATAATTTTAAGACTGCATTTACTGATATTGGCTATTGAACTTTAAATAGTTAATGTCAAGGTTTATAAATAGTTAAAGTATATCAGGTTGTAAGATCAGAGTAACTGTAAAAATGTTTTTAATGTAGATTTTGAAAATCTCAATTGAAATTTTCGATTATGGTGACAAAATTTTAATTTCTTTAATATCCATGTTTCCATATTGATATAGGAACTTTTATTATGATTTCAAGCATCAGGTATTTTTTCTTTTTATTGTTATTTGAAAATGCATTTTAAAGTGAATTTTATCTTGTGAATGTGTAATATTTTTATTGCATATTTTCATTATGCTTAACTCATATCTAAAGTGAGTTTTACATTCAAATGAGGGATTTTAGAAGATTAAACCACATCAAAACATTTCTTTATTAGAAATGCATTTAAATTCACAATATCATGCCAATTCTAATTGGCATTTAATTCATATGTTTGTATCTTATTTTGGAAAACAAGGTATAAAGGAAAATAAATAACTATGAAAATCCTCATGTTCATATTTTTAGCAAGTATTCTTTGATATATGTAAAACATGCATTACAATAACAAACTATTATGAGCATGCAGATAAGATAGAATGGAAAAAAAGACTTTTTTTTTTTTTTTCCCAAACTAATGTGTACTACACTGACTACCAATAAGTATTTGGACACCTGTGATAGAAAAGAAAAACTAACTTTATTCAAAATCAGTAGTTGGTAGAGCCTCCACGAGAGGTAATTACAGCGTGGACCCTCCGGGGCATACTTTCCACAAGTTTTTGTATGACAGCTAGTGGTATTTTCTTCCACTCGGCTTGGAGAAGACATAGAAGTTCCTTCACCGATTTTGCACGGGTAGTGCACCCCTGAATTTGCCGATGCAACTCGTCCCAGAGGTTCTCGATAGGGTTCAGGTCTGGACTTTGGGCTGGCCAGTCCATTCGATGAACTCCATTGGCACCATACCAAGCCTTGGTTAAAGTCGAAACATGACAACTGGCATTGTCTTCCTGAAAGTAACATGGGTGCAACCCGTAAAACTGCCACAACGTAGGAAGCACATTGTCGTCCAAAATAGTGCAGTAGGCATCAGAGTTGAGCTTACCAGGAATGGGGACCAAGGGTCCCAGCCCATACCAGGAGTAACACCCCCAGACCATAATTCCACCTCCGCCGAACTTGACTGTTGGCACAATGCATTCTGGCAGGAGAAGTTCTCCAGGTAGACGCCAGACCCAGACCCTGCCATCCGAACTGTAGAGGGTGAATCTTGATTCGTCACTCCAAAGAACCTGTTTCCACTGATCTAGGGTCCAATTTCGATGTGTCTTGCACCACATTAACCGAGCAGCACGGTTGGACTTCGTGATCAAAGGCTTATGGGCAGCAGCACGACCATGAAAACTATGCAGATGTGCTTCCTTACGGATGGTATTCATTGAAACAATACTCCCGGATGCCTGTTGAAACTCCTCGCGGATGAGGGCCATAGGTTGGGTGCGGTTCTTCCGAATTTCTCTGGACAGCACTCGTCGGTCTCTATCTCCCAGTTTCGCTGGTCTGCTGACTCGGGGCACATTCCGACAATCACCGCTCACCTTCCACTTCTTAATCACATAGGCCACTGTCGATTTTGGCTACTCCAGATCGCTAGATATGTCCCTTAAGGATTGGCCACATTTGTGATACCCTATAATTATATCTTTCTCGAAATCAGAGAGCTTTGAACTGCGAGGCATCTTGCATGCGACTAAAGCCGATGCTGTTTTCTACACGATATATACCGGCGAGGTCCGTGAAATACCTTAGGACCGCAGATATCGTCATTTGCATAGGTGTCCAAATACTTATTGGTAGTCAGTGTATATAAAGCCCTGAATTTTGTAATCCAGAATCAGGAGCTGTATTTCTTAAATTTTACATTAATGCATTATGTGTAATATTTAAATCCTTTGATTTATATGCATAGATCAAAACTGAGATCTTGTTACATATAAAAAAAAAATAATGCTAATTCAGAAAGAACATTTGATTTGTTTTTTATAATTAAAAAATAGGACAGATGGATAAATAATCCATGAAAGTAAAGAGAAAATGTATAAGTTTTATTTGCAGATGTTTGATATGGTGTCCTTTACACATGCTATAATATCATAGTGATATGAAAATGCCTGCCAAGTACATTCCAGTATACAAATAAAGTACTTTTCTAAAGCAGAAGGCCCCTCAGGGGGCTCACTTTTGTGAGTACGGGTGTGGCAATCCCGAGGTACTCTAGCCCTTCAGGGGATCATCTTCTTGGTGAGACGGGTGTCACGATCCTGGAGCCCCAGTGATCTATCCTCTTTTCCGTCTCCTCTCCTCTTGGCTGGAACTTTTTCCCTTCCCTTCTCCCCTTGTGGTTTCTCTCTACGGAGTTTGGGGCTCGTCACGAGAGACTGGAACAGACCTTGCCTCTAGTTCTCGAGTGGCGAGAAAACTGCCCACGTGTTTGCCGTGCGTGGAGACCCGTGTCGCTGGAAAGGAGGGTCCTGGTAGTTGAGGGGCGAGGTACTGTCCCCAACACACTGCTTTGGCCTCTGCTTCAGCTAAACGGGAGGCACCTTAGTCGTCCTCACGGGTGTCAATCGGCTGGTCACTAGTCCTTGTGTCAGTGGCTTGGGGTCAAGCTCTCGGGAGTACCTGCTTTCGGGAAAGCCGACTGTGGGGCTTCAGTTTGCGTATAGGTCCGGCTAGCCCTAACACAGGAATCTGTGTTCCCTTGTTGGGCTCCGTGGTGGGCGGGGCCGTCGGACCCGAATCTTTTCTTCTTTCAAATATGGCTAATTCTCATATATTTTTAATCAAAGACTTCGAAGTCAGTCACTCCTAGTCACTCCAAAGTCAACTGAAATTCTGAAAAACCTACTGTTAAAAAAAGTACGTACCGACTTTTTCTGAAAATGAAAAAATTGACCCTGAAAAAAATCATGCAATAGCCCGTTTATTGTAGTCTCTAAAGTCCTTCTGGCGAAATGCAAAAGATGTCTCCTTTCGTAATTCAGAAATATATCCATTCCTGTATTGGTGAGCCGAGAAATATAAAGCGTCTCCGCTCCGGAGACTTGCTTATTGATACAATTTCAGCCACCCAGTCTGCTTCCCTTACTTACGATTAACTAAACTTGGGCAAAGCGAATGTCACTGTAACAGCACATAAAACACTGAAATTATTGTCGAGGCGTAATCTCGGAATTCGACCTTCTGTATGTTTCTGAAGAAGAGATCGCTTCCGAGCTAGCCGACCAAAATGTCAGTCTGCGGTGCAGGCGGATCAAGATGCGTAAAGAAGGTAAGTTGATCGACACGAAACACGTGATCCTACCTTCAACACACCTGATCTGCCTAAGAATATTAAGGCCGGATACCTAAATTGTCCTGTAAGACCTTATATTCCAAACCCTATGCGATGCTTCCAATGCCAGCGTTTCGGCCATTCTAAGACGTCTTGTCGTGGCAGCCTCACATGCGCCCGATGCTCACAGATTGGCCACGATTCTGAGAATTGTACCGCTGCGCCTTTGTATAAATTGCAAGGGTGAGCACCCAGCATTTTCACGTTCCTGTCCAAAATGGAAATTGGAAAAAGAAGTGCAGACTGCAAAAAGTTACGAGGAACATCTCATATGCCGAAGCCAGAAGATTAGTTCAAAGCACACAGCCTCAATCAAACAAATCTTATGCCAAGTGCAGTTAAAATCAACACGTACAGTTGCCACCCAAACATCATAAATAGGCACCAGACTCCACCAAATAAAAACCAACCAGCCTACAACAAGAAAAAAAGAAAATCCAACACATATAGTACAAAATAAAGAAACAGTATTCAAAGCAAACCCAAAACTGTGCCACAAA